TACAACATGTGTAACTGGAATATGAATGAAACATAGTGTTTTCATTTTAAGAAGAGTTTTGGTCATTTTTAAGTTCAGTAATAAGTGTGGTTTTATATAAATAACATTAAGTTTATTATTTATTAAGTAATAATTAATCTTTCTTTATTATCAGGATATGTACCACAGTCCTTTAAAGTAGCTGTAATTAAACCCCTTCTTAAAAAGCCCACTCTTGACCCAGGGGTTTTAGCCAACTATAGACCGATTTCTAACCTCCCCTTCCTCTCTAAGATTCTGGAGGAAGTAGTCGCCAAAGAGTTCTGTGACTTTCTACATAACAATAGTTTATTTGAGGATTTTCAATCAGGATTTAGAGTTCATCACAGCACAGAGACAGCTCTGGTTAAAGTTAATAATGACCTTCTGATTGCTTCTGACAACTGCTTGTCTCTGTAGTTGTATTATTAGATCTTAGTGCTGCATTTGACACCATTGACCATAATATTCTTTTAGAGAGACTTGAGCATCAAATTGGCATTAAAGGAACCGCACTAAGCTGGTTTAAGTCATATTTATCAGATCGCTCGCAGTTTGTACATGTTAACGATGAATCTTCAATAAATACTACAGTTAGTCATGGAGTTCCACAAGGTTCTGTACTTGGACCAATACTATTTACTTTATATATGCTCCCTTTAGGCAACATTATTAGGAATCACTCCATTAACTTTCACTGTTATGCAGATGATACGCAGTTATATCTATCAATCAAACCCAATGAAATTAATCAATTATCTAAATTACAAACATGTCTTACGGACATAAAATCCTGGATGACCTGCAATTTTCTGATGTTAAACTCAGAAAAAAACGAAATTCTTGTTCTTGGCCCCAAAAACCTTAGAGACACATTGTCTAAAGATATAGTCACTCTAGATGGCATTAACTTGGCCTCTAGCACCACTGTCAGGAATCTTGGAGTTATCTTTGATCAGGATTTGTCATTTAACTCCCACATAAAGCAGACCTCTAGGACTGCCTTCTTTCATTTACGTAATATTACAAAAATTAGACACATCCTATCACAGACAGATGCAGAAAAACTAATCCATGCATTTGTTACTTCAAGGCTGGATTACTGCAACTCTTTATTATCAGGTTGCCCCAATAAGTCCATTAAAACGCTCCAATTAATTCAGAACGCTGTAGCACGAGTACTGACAGGAACTAGAAAAAGAGATCACATCTCTCCTGTACTAGCTTCTCTGCATTGGCTCCCTGTAAAATGTAGAATTGAATTTAAAATCCTCCTCCTTACCTATAAAGCTCTTCATGATCAGGCCCCATCATATCTTAAAGAGCTCATAGTACCCTATTACCCCACTAGAACACTACGTTCTCTGAATGCTGGGCTACTTGTGGTTCCTATAGTCTCTAAAAAGTAGAACAGGAGCCAGAGCCTTCAGTTACCAAGCTCCTCTCCTGTGGAACCAGCTTCCAGTTGTGGTTCGGGAGGCAGACACCCTAACCACATTCAAGAGTAGGCTTAAGACATTCCTCTTTGATAAAGCTTATAGTTAGGGCTGGATCAGGTGAGTCCTGAACCATCCCTTAGTTATGCTGCTATAGGCCTAGACTATCGGGGGGATTTCCCATGGTGCACTGAGCTCCTCCCTTCCTCTCTCTTTATGCACTCATTCATGTCCCATTAATGCATGTTACTAACTCCACTTCTTCCCCGGAGTTCTTGTGCTTTCTCGTCTCGCAGGTTCTCATGGATCCTGGTGGAGCCTCCTGCCATGGTCCTGCTTGACTGCCATTGCCAATACTGTTGTTGCTGTGCACCTGTCTGTCTGTCTGTTTGTCTCTCTCTCTCTCTCTCTGCCCCTCTCTCTCTCTCTCTCTCTCTCTCTCTCACCACAACTGGTCGAGACAGACGACCACCCACCTAGAGCCGGAGGATCTGTCCTAGGTTTCTGCCTTTTAACAGGCAGTTTTTCCTTGCCCTTGTCGCCAAGTGCTTGCTCATGGTGGTACTGTTGGGTCTCTGTAAATAATGTTATAAGGAGTTCGGTCTAGACCTGCTCTATTTGAAAAGTGTCCTGAGATAACTTCTGTTATGAATTGGCGCTATACAAATAAAATTGAATTGAATTGAATTGAATTGTATATAGCATGTAGCTTCAGAGATCTTTTCTGTCATACATATGCACATTTTGTCAGAATGCAAATATGTCCACTGGAATACCTGAATGTAAGAATACTAGTGATGAAATGTGTATTCACTAAAGGGCTGTGCTTAAGTATAAATTTGAGGTACTGGCACTTTTCTTTTTATGCTACTTTCTTCTTCTACTGCACTACATCTCAGAGGAAAATATTTTACTTTTTACTTCACTACAATTATTGGACAACTTCAACCTTTAATGCTTTAATTATACTTTACTGATTATACTGAAATAATATTTTACTTGTGATCAGAGTATTTTTACAGTGTAGTATCAGTATTTCTTACTTTGTAAATAGACATGCTTTTAAGTAAAGGATATGATACTTCTTCCACAACTTAAGAATACGCACAGTATATGAAATGCATACCACTCTGTGTTTTTGCCAAGGCCAGGGATGTTCTGTGTCCAGAATGCTATCCATGCACACCGCTTGCTCGTATGGAACGAGATTGTTGTACTCCAATATATAAGATATTATCTATTGTATGTATATCTTCTTGTATTGTCAAGTATCTATCATACATAAGCTTGTATATATATATATATATATATATATATATATATATATATGACACATGTTTACATTATTACTTTTCATTAATCATTTTATTGTTGTATTTTGTATGTAATTTTGCGCCTCATGTGAGCTGTTATGTCTGTTATTTATGATGTCTTATTTATTCTCCTGTACAGTACTTTGGTCAACTTTGGTTGTTTTAAAGTGCTTAACAAATAAAGTTAGATTGGATTGGATATGCACTGCATTCTCCCAACTGTAATCAGGTGAAACCTGCAGTCACAAGCACATGCACGTTCTTACTTACATCTGTCATGACCAACTGTCCTCCTGCCTTATCTGTGAAAACACAAGGCAAGCACACAAAGTTAAAGAAAGAATAAACTTGAGGCAGAAGCCAATTAAGAAGTTTTCCAATCCTCCCCCCACCACCACACTCTACCCACCCCACCCCCCACCACTCTGTTACATAGACAGAAATCCACAAAGTAACACCATAAAGTATGGTATAATAATGTTGAATCTGTATTATACAAGACAAAAGTTAAGTTTTCCTGGTTTTTACACCCGGTTGGGCTGGTTGGAGTTGACGGAGTTGTTTGGAGTTTGGCTGCCCTTTGCCTCACGGACCTGGCAACACTGACCGCAGGCACGATCGAGGCACCTGAAAAATTCTGGGGCGAGGCCAGGCACAGCACTGCACGTTTAACGTTGGGTTATCAAGGTAAGGTTATATCGTCGTTATTAAACCAAAAACTTATGCAAATTATCCCAAAGGTCATAAGCCTAGATTCTCTAGATTGCCAAGAAGTTTATTTTGCCATTTTGTGCAGGACAATAGGATTTTTTCTGCAAAGTCCACGAGGAGTCAGACTTATTATATGTTATATAGAAGTATTAAAACAATATATCAAGGCAAAAAACGATAAGAAAGCATCAATTAATGACGTTTATTGACTTACATAACATGTTTGGGTTTTTTTTTCTTAATTTTTTGCGTAGGCCTAAGCCACGGCACGCGACGTAGGGTTTTCGTATAGATAATGTATGGCGATTGGCGAATCGATGATTCCATGATTAAAAACCACATTGTCATCTAGCAGACAGGCTCTCAGTGATGTATATAATATGTCGCAGAATAATGCCTGTATCTTGAATTCTATTGTTTGACCCCTGATGGACTTTTGACTGCAGGCAGGACTTATGGACCTTAAGGCCTCCCTGCTAATTGACATGAAAGGAGCTGCCTTGGACTCCTGACTTTAGGGCACATTTTGGGGGCCTTCCTGGGGGGATTACCATTAAATTATTAAAAAACCTTAAAACCACAACAAGCTAGACAGCTTTATCATTCAAGCTAATCAGATAGCAATCAGCATCATTGTAGATTTAACTGTCACTTTTTTGTCATGGCAGAGTGTGGCCTTGTTCATCAGTTTGAGAAGTTTTGGAGTTTGAGACAAAAATGAGTAGACAAGGGGGTTATCTTGGAAGACTAGGCACCCACATTGAGATTTTCCACCTCATGAAGTGTTGTAACTACCTCAGAGTGATGAGGGACAATTGGAGCGTGTAGCTGGCATCGTATTGAACAAACGTTTCAACACAAGTGGACTTATTTATAGGAAATGGTCCAGTTTGAATGCCTGGAATGAATGCAACACTGTAAAGTTTATTATTGTGCCTTGCAAAGCAAGCACAATACTACTCTTCCCCATACTTACTTTTCTTATTATTCTTCCGTATGTTTTTCAAAAAAGGTGTCAAAACGTGCGGCTCGGTGAGGACATTAGTGCCATGACTTTTCTAAGCGTTTCACCAAACGGTTAACCAATAATTCGCCAAAAACCAGGCCAAAAAATGAATGGGTGTGTATTGCGAGAATCTTCAGAGTGCGTGACATCATCGCTAGAGTGTGAGGAGAGCGAAACATTTGTCGAAAAATAAATTTGTAAACTGCTCTCAAGGCCACAGATGTCACTCTACAGAAATAATTTATTGATAGAAAGATAGGTAAATCCGTTGGGGTCGCAGTGATACCACCGCTGAAGCTGTCAGACAAATAGTTTTGGCGGGAGACGCACTGATGCGCCAGCAACTCCCTCTCAAGGTCCCATCTAGTCCCATGTTAAATGCAGAGGAGAAATTTTTAAAGGAGCTCGTTGAACCTCTTCTTTCTCAATCTCCAGAGGTCACATTTTTTAACTTCAACCACTGAAACTCGGGACTCCTATGGTGAACAAGATGAGGATGCTGACGGTGTTTTCGGTTTTCATTTCGGTCGTTCCTGGCCCATATGGTTCAAGGGGATTCATTTTAAGATTTTCTGTGTCTCTCAGGTGTTAGAGACAGAGAGAGAGTGCGCAGCTGCCGTGGCCTGCCCTGGTTGCCAGGACAACCAAAGGTCTGCCTGGGACACCCACATGGTTAGCTACACAGGATGACAAGGTATTAATATGCTAGCGCTAGCTACCTGGCTAGCCAAAGAGAATTAGAAGGTATTAAAATACTAGCTCCTTAAATATGTTACCCTGCTATGAGCCGTAACTTAATTTACATTAGCACTCCTTCAGGTGCATAATACAATTAAACACATTAACCAAAGCTAGCGCGTAGCTAGCGCTTAGCTCGTAGCTAGCAATTAGCGCGTAGCTAGCGCTTAGCTCGTAGCTAGCAATTAGCGCGTAGCTAGCGCTTAGCTCGTAGCTAACAATTAGCGCGTAGCTATGGTTAATGTGCTTATGTGTGCTAGCTAAAGTGAATGAGTAGGTATTAAAATGCTAGCAGTAGCTAGCGTTAATGTTTTCCTCAGTGTTCACTGTATGCTAACAGGTAGGGGCTCTGCTGGACACTAAAGGTTTCAACAACCTACACTGCCTATGACTGCACATTAAGAATAGTTTTCTTTTTTAATTATATTTTACTCATCAATATAACTATTGTTATCAGTGTTATTGATACCATTTCTTCTTCTTATTGTTGTTGTTGTTATTATTATTATCATTATTACTACATACTTATTATTCCCATCATTGTGGTTATTACTTATTTAGTTACTTTAGCAATTTTAATTAAACCATGGCCCTTCCTGCATAAATCGCGGGACAATATTATGCCAAGCTCCATTTAAGAAATCTCATATATTAACAATTATTTGCGGTCACATAAAAGCACATAACTGTAGAAACAAAGGGAAAAAAAGTCATCATATCTCAACAATCTTCTTGTCAATTCGCCATCAATATAATCCATAAATACAAAATATTGGGCCGACTTTGTCGCATCAACTCATTACCAGGCTTGCTATTTCAGTGGGAGGAGATCATGGGAATAGATGGAATAAAACACGATTCATTATTAAAATACGGGGTGGTTGGTGGATAAAGTATACGCCGAATTAAACACAGGTGAGAATGCTGATTAACCGTGTATTATGTGTGTGCCATGGTGAAGGACAGAGGAGAGAGGATGCGATAAATAGAAAATATGGGTAAATATAGACGCACCCTCTCTGCTCTCTGACCTGCCTCTCTGTCCCCTCAACTCTTCCTTTCGTACGTCATCGCCGTAACAACAAGTTGCTCTCGCATTTCGTGACCTGATTTGACATTTAATAACTTTGATTGGAGGACAGTTATGGGACGAATGTTATTGGCTCCATTGAAAAACGTTCAAATAAATAATATGACATGAAATTACTAGTAGTGTCACTGAGTAGTGTCAATTTGTTTTCGTTCACAAAAACAATTTCCACAATATTTCCAATATTGCAAACTGTCAACATTTTGAACAGTCTTTTTTTTTCTCTCATATGAACACACACACAGATGTTGAAAGCTTGATCTGTCACACACCTAAGCGATGGTAGAGGTCACATACTGTAAACTACTCGGCAGTGTCAGTAATGTATGGGCCAGAGTGACGGGTCAGAGCAAGGCACAATCAAAATTTCTTTAGGAATTTTCTAGTTTAATAAATGTCATACAGAATGTGCAGGTGTAGTGTATTTAATAATTTACCATAAACATGTTGGATAAAAATAGATCTAGGAAAATCTACTTCCTATGTCATAAGAAGTAGAAAAAACATACACAACATAATTTCCAAGTTTAAATTCAATCAGTAATGTTCTTACCTTCCATGTTTCAATCTATTGTATAATGAATGCCTGTAGATGAAAACATGGACTTCCTCTGTCAACAGGAAGTGGGAGCTACAGAAGTAGGAGCTACAGAAGTAGGAGCTACAGAAGGAGCACTGGTGAGTAAGTGGTGAGTAAGTGTTAGCTCTGTAATTTATAGATTTTTCTCATTTTTATGCATTTTTTAACTTTTAAAAAGTCGTTTTTATTGCATTTTCTTTTAAAATGAAAATGTTATGAGATAGATGTAAATGTGGAATATCAATTTTATTTTCCAAATTTCAATCTACCTTCTACTTAATTCATAAAATCAAATAAAAAATAATAAAAGCTTGCAGCTTTGGTTTGAATTCTAATTCCTAGTTCAGCCAGATTCAGCATCCAAAGCACTAAAAAATCCTTTAAAAAGGTCCTTTTTATGCAGGTGTCAACAGGAAGTCAGGCGTGTCAACAGGAAGTCGGGCGTGTCAACAGCAAGTCACTCAGCAATGCCAGGCATGTTAATTTGTTTGCTGTACTTGTGTTTGCTTTCTAAAATTAATTTAGTCAGACAGAGGTTAAACTTTCTAAAATTGTTTATATCTAACTGACACATTGATAGATCATGCAATAGAAATGAGGATGCAGATGCCAAATGAAGGCCCCTCCATCCGACTTGAGATCCAACAACAACAACAACAACAACAACAACAAGGATCTCCCCAAGATGCACCATATAGGCATGTGCAGTTTCTACTTTAAATATATATAATTATTAGGGCTGGGACTTTATTGCGTTAATTACGATTAATTAATTACAGAAAAAATAAATAAATAACACAATTAATTTTAAATTTATTTTTGCATTCCAAACAGTGCGTAACGTTGCTCGTTGCGCGAGTTCCAGGTGTGTTGTGCCAATGTAGGTATCCCCGCCAGAAAGTGTTTCCCCTGGCCGCGGGAGCGTGCATTCATTCAGCGAAGGCGTAGGAACAGCGTTGCGCTTGCTTTCACCCAAGTAAATTAAAACTAATAACAATTGCATTGTTTAATTCAATGTTCTGGTGTTGTAATTATCTACGAGGTTTTGCAACATGGCCCACCCATCAAAATAAATGCTTTTATTATTTTGTACGTCGTACTACGTACTGAACGGGAAAACCATTTCCTCATGTGATTTGACATATAACACGCTGTAATTCAAGTCCTGGTATGAAATTTGTCGAACTAAATAAACGTCGATATCCAAAATCAAGATCACTGTGATTGTTTTCTGGCTTCAATTACGTCTATGAAATCTACTTCACTCGAAATGTATTATAATAGACAGATGAAGCCTGACCATCAAATAATTTATTTTATGTGAACTTCAGATACTACTCTATATCCTCTGTGATTATGAACAAGTTTCTTCTCTTCTAGCCAAAGATATGGGGCGAAACATATTATTTCAGACTGTTTACCTGTCTGCCAGATATTGTACCCCCCCCCAAAACATTTTTTTTTTTAAACTTCAAAGACAGCAGAGACACGCGGAGCCTGTGGTAGGGCATTCAGACCATCACGGACTACAAGCCCGCGCCCCAGATCTGCAACGACAACATCTCTCTGCTCAACAACCTCAACAGCTTCTTCGCACGGTTTGAAGCTACAAATAACACAAGCCCACAGAAAACTCCACCCCCTCCCCATGATCAGGCTCTGTGCCTGTCTGCTGCCAGTGTGAAGAGGTCACTCTCCACCATCAACCCCCCGCAAAGCAACAGGCCCAGACAACATCCCAGGCCGTGTGCTGAAGGACTGCTCAGAGGAGCTTAAGGACATCTTCACGGATATCTTTAACACTTCTCTGAGTCAAACTGCTGTCCCATCACATTTCAAGGCCACCATCATCATACCTGTACCAAAGAAACCTGTTCCATCCTGCTTCAATGACTATCGCCCTGTGGCACTGACCCCCATCATCATGAAGTATTTTGAACGGCTAGTCATGTCTCATATCAAGTCCATCCTCCCCCCCATCCTGGACCCCTTTCAGTTTGCATACCCAGCCAAACGTTCCACAGAGGATGCAATCTGCTCTGCTTTCCACCCAGCCCTCACCCACCTGGACACAACAGACTCACATGTGAGAATGCTTTTCATAGACTTTAGTTCAGCATTCAACACCATAATTCCACAACAACTCATCTATAAACTGCACCAGCTGGGGCTCAACACCTCCCTTTGCAACTGGCTGCTTGACTTCCTCAGTGAGAGGCCACAAACGGTACGAGTCGGCAACAACACCAAGAGCAGCATCACGCTCAGCACAGGGGCCCCCCCAAGGCTGTGTGCTCAGTCCCCTGCTCTTCACCCTGCTGACTCACGACTGCACACCAACCTACAGCACCAATCACATGGTGAAGTTTGCGATGACACAACTCTGGTGGATCTCATCACCAAGAACAACAAGACCCACTACAGGAAGGGGGTCAACCTTTTGACCACGTGGTGCAGAGACAACAACCTCCTGCTGAATGTCAGCAAAACCAAGGAGATTGTTGTTGACGTCCGGAGAGACCACACCGAACACCCACCACTGACCATCGATGGTGCTGCTGTGGAGAGAGTGAGCAGCACCAAATTCCTGGGGGTGCACATCAGCGAGGACCTCTCCTGGATCACCAACACTGCATCACTGGTGAAGAAAGCCCAACGGCCTCTACCTCTCCTTCGCAAGCTCAAGCGAGCAAAAGCTCCCCCCACCCATCATGTGCACATTCTACCGGGGCACCATTGAAAGTATCCTGTCCAGCTGTGTGGGGCGGGAGCTGCACTGAATACAGCAGGAAAGCACTGCAACGTATAGTCAACACAGCTGGTAGGATCATTGGTGCCCCACTCCCTTCCTTACAAGAAAGCTACCTCGATTGTGAGCGACGCCAGCCACCCTGCACACACACTGTTCAGCCTCCTGCCTTCTGGAAGAAGGGACAGGAGCCTCCGTGCCCGCTCCACGAGACTCACAAAAAGCTTCATCCACCAAGCTTTCAGGAAGCTAAATTCCATTTAAATTGAAAAATGTTGCTTCTCGTGTCAAATATTGATATGCGATTAATTTAAATTAATTAATTACAAAGCCTCTAATTAATTAGATTAATTTTTTTAATCGAGTCCCACCACTAATAATTATTTCAAATAGTATGATGCTGAATCAAGTGATGTTTGTACTATAATACAATAATGTGGTTTTGTTTTCCTTTTAGATTGGGAGTGCTATGTGGACGAGCATGGGACCTGTGGGATGTGCTCCTACTTCTTATAATAATGATTGTAATTATTTTGATGTACTTCATTCTCATTATTGTTCTCCATCAGTACAAGTACATTTAGCAAGTTTGGGGTCATTAAGATTTTTGTTTTGTTTGAGATGTTTATTTTGGTAATTATGTAAGTAAAAAATATTATTTATAAGATTTTGTTTTTCAATTTGGTTTCCTTTATTAAAACAGTTCAAACTGCAAAAAGTTTATTTTTATTCCCTGATTTTGTGTGCTGCAGAACAACTGTAAAATAAATGTTTTCATCACCCTTCCTGTACAGAGCCAAGGCACACACTGACAATAACAACAACAACAACTACAACAACACTAACAGACAGAACGATGATGTGGAAGAGCCAAGACGCCTGTGTGCTTGTCTGGGGTCTTATAATTATTAATCATGCAAATAAATGATCATGAAATTTGGGTGGGGTTATGTTTAGGGCTTAGGATCAAGGATAGGTTTAGGATTTGGAATTATGGTTATGTTTACGGCCTGGATAAGGGTGAAGGGTTAAGTTTAGGGCTTAAGATCTGGGTTGGGTTTAGGGTTACAAATCATCATAGCCAAATCCTAAGTGTGCTGGGGTGCAGATCCCATCAGGTGCCACCGGAGGGCAGGCGCTGCCCCTAACCTGGCAGCACAAGTGATGCCACACCACATATGACTCAACCTGTAGCGGGTTTCCACAGAGAGTTTCTAAGTGTGTTGGTGTGCAGGAGGATTCCTGATTACAAGTCTATTTGATAAGTTTTTAATTATATTTGTATATGTATATAAGAAATCATGTATCACTTCATCTCTTTGTTCATTTATTTTAATTAATCAACTGTATACAGATAGTCAAGTGAATTTTTGCTCTTTTCAAAGATTAATTGAGCAGGAAGGAAACGTTGGGGTCAAAGGTCAAGGTATGTATACATGTACATATTAAATTGTTTGTTTGTTTCTGACTTGATATATTCATTTTTCATTAATCAACCGTATCATTAGACAGACATGTCTATTTTCTTTTCTTTTCTGGCAGATTGAGATCATGTCGGCTCCCGCAAGTCTGTCTCCCCCACACCAGACCACAGATACTGTTATGGTTTGGTTTATTATGTCTTTGTTGTTGTGCTTCTCTTTTTGTTCTCTCTCTTCCCCCTCCCCTTTCTGTTCTCTTGCAGAGCTTGTGTGGGGCAGGGTGGTGTGGCTGGCTTCCTCCTGTTGGCACACCTGTTTTCACTCAGGCCATTCCCTCCACTTCATTAGCCCGGTCTCTTCTCCGGCTCTCTGCTGTTCTGCTACTTACCCACGTCTAGTTTTGCCTGTGCAAGTCTTCTGAAGACATCCTCCTGCCAGCCAGCTCCTTGCCTCACCTGCCCGTTTCAGTTCCGGTTTTGTTTTGGATAACTATTAAATATCTTCAGTTCCCACACACCAGAGACTGTGTCTTTGCTTTGGGGTCCAAGTCTCTAGAGAACCTAACAGATACCACAGCCTTCTTCACGTGGCCTCCAAGACTCTCGAAGTCATTGGCGAGATTCAGTGGCGCTCCCTCTGCTATTCGATACACCTGAAGGTGCACTGAGAGCACGGCATGCCCCGGATGGAAACAGTGTTACAGAGGCTCCTAAAGGAGATGAAGAGAGGTTTGCTCCTGAAGACCCTGACCTTCATCTCCTGTGTGGCCATCATCCAGAATGGAGATAAATGTGCTTGGGGGGCGTGTCGCAGGCGGGGTTGCAGCAGCTACAGATCCAGGGGGAATACAAGAAGAAGAAGAATCTCAGGATTTGGAGCCTGCATCCAACCGTCCCCTACAAGGTATGCATTGCCTGGCCTGTCCGTGTCATTTCATAGCACTTGTTTGTGATATGTTATTTGTGTTTTTATATGTTTATTTATTTTGTATTATTTTTGTTGTTTTTGTTTTTTTCCCAAGCACTCCACCATCCCATCCCTGTGACCACCACCGAGTGAGGAGAAGGAGGAGAAGGCCTAACTATAAGCTTTGTCAAAAAGGAAGGTCTTAAATCTACTCTTAAAGTTGAAGAGGGTGTCTGCCTCCCAGACTGAAACTGGAAGATGATTCGACCAAAGATGAGCTTGATAACTGAAGGCTTTTGCTCCTATTCTGTTTTTTAAGACTTAGTAAGTAATCCTGCATTCTGAGAGCGTAGTGCTCTAGTCAGATAATAGGGCACTATGATATTAATCCTTGATAATAATCGCATGAATGCTGGAGTCATACTTAAAAAACTCCCTGTTGTGTGAGACAAAGGTGTCATGACTGTATCCCATAGACCCATATTTGGCCAAACAGGTCTCAGTCATTCTCTAGCCAACTATGTATTTTTAAATAAATTAAGTGTCTCAAAGTTGGGTGTTTTTGCAATAAAATATGGGGAAGTTGTGTGGTCGTGGTGGAAGTAGCTTTAGAAATGACTAAGGGTCTAGAATCTGGTTTGGACATGTAATATAAGTGCTTCCTGACAAGTTCAGCTCATTTGGAGCTATATTGGCCTAAAACTGTTGGAAAAATTCAAATGTATTGCAGATGAAAAGACTGAGAGGCTTCAAATCACCACAGGACTAGAGTGCAGAATCACTGACAAAACTTTCAGCCTTCTAGCTTGAGAGGAAAAAAACTCTCCTCTGGCGGGGGAGTACATTTGGAGAAGTAGTTATCTCACAGTAGTGTTTTCTGTGTATATACATTTCATTATAATCACTATATACTGTCCTCACCATAGCCCTCCAAGGCAAACTGTGATTTGTGAATTTGGTCTATACAAGTTTGATTTGATTTATGCTATGTATATCATTGCTTTGGAAATTAAAGACCTTTCTTTATTGAAATACCTCACAGGAAGTGGATGGTGCTTTGTTTCAAGCAAAGCAGGCCCACTACGTGCAAAGGCTGAGAGAGTTGAGGGCAACAAACCCAATGCCACCAATGGTGTCCAGGCTGGACCTTGACCTTAAGGTCGGTGACAATTTATAATGTACACAGTGTGCCAAGTGCACTTGATTCTGTTCATGTGCTATAAGAGTACAGGTGTAAGTTCTACTGCACCTAGGTGAGGCACCCTTTCTCTGTGGCCTCTCCTGAGGTTTCTTCCATTTCTATTCCTTGTTAAGGGTTTTTATTTTGGGGGGGAAGATAGAGGTCACCCTCTATTTACAGATTGTACATGCCTCTGAGGCAATCTTTCAGTTTGAGCTATCCAAATAAAGTTTGAATGGAGGTCGACACCAGTGACTTGACTTACTTGTTGCAGTGGCCCAGGTTGGTGTATGACTCATAAGTTGCTAAAATGGTTCTCTTTGTTCTCTAGTTGGCCAACTGCATTGAAGAAGGCTGGGTATAAACCAACATCAGTCAAGAATATGCTCAGCAACGCAAAGACCTTCCCCTCCCACGTAGAGCTCTTTCACTGAAAAGAAAACCTCCTGACAGCCACCCGGATTGGCCAAAGACTGCATCAAGAGACTGCAGTCGGACTTTCTGGGGTAGGTGGTGGTTCATAGGCGGGGGGTCAAGAGGAAAAAGAGACATAAGTGAAGTAATAATTAGTTGAAGTTTTAAGGTAAATGCCTAATGGTTTGGGAAGAAAGCCTAGTAAATTTGGAAGCTGAAATTGGAAGGGTGATGGTTTTTCGAAGGAACACTACTAAATCTGGAAGCTGAAATTGGAAGTCTTAAAAGTCTTTTCATTAAACAATTCCCCAGTTTGCAATCAATAAAGTAAATCTTTCTATCTTTCAGGGAAGCTTATTTCATTGACAAAAAACAAAACAAACTGAAAAATCTTCCTATTAATGTCTGCTCAATGTTTGTCATGTGTATGACCAGGGAAACTGGTCAGTGCCTCGGAGGAGCAAACATTCATCATGGTGGCAACGATGAGGACCCCTGCTCTGCTGAGTAAGTATCCTCCTTATCCTTTGCTTTGTTACTGATGGGTTTTTCTTTTGGTGAAGGACAGATTGTAAAGCCCTCTGAGGCAAACTGTAATTTGCGAGTTTGCAATATGAAATTTGATTTCAGTCAAGCTAATGCACAACTTTAATTGTGGTCCCAAAACACCCATTAAGAGTCTCAAGAGCTTTAGGAAATCCCAAAGTATGACAAAGGTAGAAGAGGAGGCTCCTTTCTTGCTTTCGTGGGCCATACAAAAATGGACAGATTCCTCGTCCTTGCGACCATTCAAAGCGCTGTCCAACTCTAGTCAGCATTAACCCCATTCACACACATTCATGCATGTACTGATGGCTATGCCACCAGGAGCAATTGGGGTTGCTCAAGTATGCTTCGACGTGTCCACCATCTTTTCCAGTTGGTGGATGACCACTCTGCCTCCTGAGCCACAGCTGCCCCTAATGAAAGACTAATAATTTTTTTCTTTTCCAGAGCAAATGCAGGAAAAGGTACAATTGGTCACCGTAGAGCTCCTGCAGGGTTACCTTATCGTCACTGGACACTGGCCAGTGGTGTACTGCAGCCTGACAAAGAAAGAGGTCTGGGAGCGAGAAGAAAAGGAGGGCTTTTACATGGTGTGGGTGAGTTAAACATGATTACCTGTGGCAAGGAAATTTAGTTGACCACAACTAGACTTGGTTATGTCTTTGAAGATATTTCACCTCTCATACAACTTTTATCATCATCATATATGATCATCATCACCAAGTCAAGTTGCATTATTTTTTATGTGTATTTTAGATTGAGAGTAACAAGACCCAGGCCACATATGGGCACGCCCAGATGGTATTCATCAGAGTGCTCGATTGAGTCTACCCAAAAGTGCCTCTTGTTTTCCATAATATGGAGGGAAAAGAGCACTGGAAGCTGGGCCTTCTGCTGAATGCGGCGTGGAGCGACTCAGGACTCACCAGTACTGTGACATTCAACCAGATCCACTCCAGGGTGAGAAGTCAGGTGAGCGGCACCTTTCACCCTAACCCACCACCCTCCACCATCAATCAGGGTTAAGTGTTAGCATAACCTTACTCATGTCTAAGGACCATTACTAAATCCAGGAGCTGAAAGTGGAAGTGTAATGGTTTTTTAAGGGGAACCAAAAGTCTTTGGAAGACTTATAACCAAGTCCATTTGCATTCGATTGAATTTCCCTGTGGTTCCTTTGTGTCGGTCCATGCTGCCTTCAACACCAGGCCAAGCCTCCGGTGCACTTTTCCCTCATTGTTGGGAAATATCAAAGGTATTTTTGAATATGCACTCTAAAGGAGTCTGATGAATCTCCGGAGCCATCCATGCTCAGTAGAATTGAGCACCATCTGGGTGTGCTTTGTCTAAGTCTTATGACTCTCGATCTAAAAAATAGCTTAACAATAGCATAGCATAATTTGAGTGGTGTTGATGACGATCATAATAATAATAATAATAATAATAACTTGTATTTATATAGCGCCTTTCAAAATACCCACGGCGCTTTACATGAGAATTAGCAGGGGTTTGGGGTGGGGTTAAAGGAACAGATTAAGGGAGAGAGGGAAGGAAAGACTGAGTGACAGACTGAGCCAAGACTGATGGGAAAAGGCCATGGCAAAGAGGTGGGTTTTGAGGAATGATTGAAAGGTGTCCAGGGTTGGCTAGATAGGACTGAAACCATGTAAGGGCTGTACCGGTTATGCCAAGGTCATGGGATAGGGATTTGAGAAGGATTGTGTGGGAAACAGTGTCAAAAGCTGTGTAGAGGTTGAGGAGAATGAGGATACTGATTTTGCCAGAGTCTGCAGCGATGAGAAGGTCACTAGTTATTTTGATGAGGGCGATCTCTGTGCTGTGGTGTGCTCTGTAGGCTGTAGGCTAAATTATAATTCATTTGAAAGCCTTGTTCTTAGTCTTTCTCACCCAAACTGGAAAACACTGCAGCCAGTTCTATTTATTATAGTGTACCGCGCTCCTGGACCGTACTCTGATTTTAGATCTGAATTTTTGAGTTTCTATCAAGTTTAGTCCTTAAAACAGAAAGTAATTATTGTAGGTGATTTTAATATTCATGTGGATGTTCAATTCAATTCAATTTTATTTGTATAGCGCCAATTCATAACAGAAGTTATCTCAGGACACTTTTCAAATAGAGCAGGTCTAGACCGAACTCTTTAACATTAATTACAGAGACCCAACAGTACCACCATGAGCAAGCACTTGGCGACAAGGGCAAGGAAAAACTGCCTGTTAAAAGGCAGAAACCTAGGACAGATCCTCCGGCTCTAGGTGGGTGGTCGTCTGTCTCGACCAGTTGGGGTGAGAGAGAGAGAGAGAGAGAGAGAGAGAGAGAGAGAGAGAGACAGACAGACAGACAGACAGGTGCACAGCAACAACAGTATTGGCAATGGCAGTCAAGCAGGACCATGGCAGGAGGCTCCACCAGGATCCATGAGAACCTGCGAGACGAGAAAGCACAAGAACTCCGGGGAAGAAGTGGAGTTAGTAACATGCATGAAAGGGACATGAATGAGTGCAGAAAGAGAGAGGAAGAGAGTAGCTCAGTGCACCATGGGAAATCCCCCGATAGTCTAGGCCTATAGCAGCATAACTAAGGGATGGTTCAGGACTCACCTGATGTTGACAATGACAGCCTTAGTAATGCATTTATATCATTAATAGACTCAATTGGCTTCTGTCAGAGTGTAAATAAACCAACTCATTGTTTTAATCACACTCTTGACCTTGTTTTATCATATGGCATTGATATTGAACATTTAATAGTCTTCCCACATAATCCTTTCCTACCTATGACCATTATTTAATAACTTTTGAATTCATACTATTAGATTATAAGCCATTAGGCAAAACGTCCTACAGCAGATGTCTATCTGACAGTGCTGTAGCTAAATTTAAGGAGGGGATTCCTTCAGTGTTTAATTCAATGCCATGTCTGAATTTAACAGAGTCCTATAACGACTTTAGTCCCTCTGAAATTGATAATCTTGTCGATAGTGCTACAGGCTCACTACGATCAACATTAGACTCTATCGCTCCTATAAAAAGGAAATTATTAAAACATAGGAGACTAGCACCTTGGTATAACCACCAAACCCGCCAGTTAAAACAAATAGCTAGAAAATCTGAAAGGAAATGGCGCTCTTCCAAATGATCAGAATATCGCTCAAATTGGCAAGATAATCTTAAAATTTATAGAAAGGCCCTCCGTAATGCCAGAGGAGCCTATTACTCAGCACTAATAAGAAGAAGAAAATAAGAATAACCCTAGGTTCCTCTTCAGCACTGTAGCCAGGCTGACAGAGAGTCACAGCTCTATTGAGCCACATATCCCCATAAACTTAAGTAGCAATGACTTCATGAGCTTCTTCTATAATAAAATTATTACTATTAGAGAAAAAATTAATCACCAACTGCCATCAACAGTTACCAGTGGCTCTCCAAGTTCAGGGACTTCTGTCAATGTAAACTTAGATATATATTTAGACTGTTTTTCTGCTATCGATCTTCATCAGTTAACTTCAATCATTTCTTCATTGAAGCCATCAACCTGTCGATTAGACCCGATCCCAACTAGGCTGCTTAAAGAAGTTGTTCCCTTAATTGGCACTTCTTTACTGGATATGATTAATCTTTCTTTATTATCAGGATATGTACCACAGTCCTTTAAAGTAGCTGTAATTAAACCCCTTCTTAAAAAGTCCACTCTTGACCCAGGGGTTTTAGCCAACTAAAGACCGATTTCTAACCTCCCCCTCCTCTCTAAGATTCTGGAGAAAGTAGTCGCCAAAGAGTTGTGTGAATTTCTGCATAACAATAGTTTATTTGAGGATTTTCAGTCAGGATTTAGTGTTCATCATAGCACAGAGACAGCTCTGGTTAAAGTTAATAATGACCTTCTGACTGCTTCTGACAATGGACTTGTCTCTGTACTTGTATTATTAGATCTTAGTGCTGCATTTGACACCATTGACCATAATATTCTTTTAGAGAGACTTGAGCATCAAATTGGCATTAAAGGAACCGCACTAAGCTGGTTTAAGTCATATTTATCAGATCGCTCGCAGTTTGTACATGTTAACGATGAATCTTCAATAAATACTACAGTTAGTCATGGAGTTCCACAAGGTTCTGTACTTGGACCAATACTATTTACTTTATATATGCTCCCTTTAGGCAACATTATTAGGAATCACTCCATTAACTTTCACTGTTATGCAGATGATACGCAGTTATATCTATCGATCAAGCCCAATGAAATTAATCAATTATCTAAATTACAAACATGTCTTAAGGACATAAAATCCTGGATGACCTGCAATTTTCTGATGTTAAACTCAGAAAAAAACGAAATTCTTGTTCTTGGCCCCAAAAACCTTAGAGACTCACTGTCTAAAGATATAGTTACTCTAGATGGCATTAACCACCCACCTAGAGCCGGAGGATCTGTCCTAGGTTTCTGCCTTTTAACAGGCAGTTTTTCCTTGCCCTTGTCGCCAGGTGCTTGCTCATGGTGGTACTGTTGGGTCTCTGTAATTAATGTTAAAGAGTTCGGTCTAGACCTGCTCTATTTGAAAAGTGTCCTGAGATAACTTCTATTATGAATTGGCGCTATACAAATAAAATTGAATTAAATTGAATTGAATTGAATTGCAGGGGTTCGTAGAGCTCATGGTCAGACAGATGTTGGTGAAGCTGGGCAGCCACTGCTTTATCCAGAACCTTGATGAGGAAAGGCAGGTTGGAGATCGGCTGGAAGTTGCTGAGATCATCAGGGTCCAGACCAGGCTTCTTTAAGATGGGAGTGATGGAAGCAGTTTTGAAACTGGGGGAAACAACACCAGATGCTAGGATGGAGTTTATTATGTCAGTGATGAAAGGGCAGAGGGCAGGGAGGTAGGCCTTGGAGTTGGCATGGGGTCCAGCAAACATGTCGAAGCTTTGGCCTTTGATATCAGACCCGAAACTTGTCATCATATATGATGATGACGATGAAACTTGTATCAGAATCAAAGACTTATAACCAAGTCCAGTTGCATTTAATTGATTTCCTTGAGATAACTATGAACTGGATGATGGAGAATATTCACAGACTTGCTTTTGGAAGGAACATTACTAAATATTTAAGCTGTAATTGAAAGCATAATGGTTCTGGAAGTGGAAGTGTCATGTCAGATCCACCCCAGGTGGCTTTTTAATGCTAAAAAATGAAACAAACATAACATTTTGAAGACTAATGTTCACCCTCTGTTTGTCATCTGTATGTGACAGTGAATTTATAAACCATTTCCTCCTTCCAAGGCACGGAGACAGCTGTCCAAGGATGAGTTTGGTCAGGTTGTGGCTGCCATGTGCCATGACATGGCGATGGCAGAAAAATATGACTGTGCTCTTCCGTTCATTAAGGAGGCCATGGAGGTTTGCAGCCTGAGGATGAAAGCCCTCATGGAGGAAACGGTGGACCCGCATCCTGCCTCCACCTCAGACTCTGGGGGTGAGGAACCAATGTATGCTGACAGCATGTACTCTGTGTCTGAGCTCTCTGAAGGAGAGAAGGAGTTAATGAAGATGAGAAGGCGGCTTTTCGGAGCAGCAGGGAGGGAAGAAAAGCAAAGGAAAGAAGGACAAGGGTCAGAAAGATGAGGAGACGTGCCCAAGCCTTTGAATCAGACACCGACCCTGAGTGCCTGATGATCATGACGGATGCAGCGGAAAAGCAGGGATCAGAAATGGAAACATTTTACTGAATAGAAGAGGAGGGGCAGCGTGCACACGGACCAAGGGAGGGGAAATTGTCTAGGTTCCCATCCAATTGAGGATTTGTAGTTAAGCATTGCTGAGTGGAGTGATATATTTTATATCTGTATATATTGTACTTATGTATATTTTAAATCTGTAGATATTTTATATCTGTATACATTATCAATTATTTTATATCTGTATATATTTATTTATTTTATATATTTTGTTGTGCCTGTGCTGCAGGGGCTGTAAGATATGTGGAACTGGGACATTAACACATGCTGCCTCACCTCCTGGAGGTGAAAGGTCAAACTATATAGAAACTTAGTAATCATGTCATCAGAACTTCTCATCTTCTCTGCAGGTTAGAGGTTGTCAGTTGGGAGCAAAAACCTACAGAAAATAGTAACAATATGATGCCTGGAAATGTGGACTACAGTCAGACAACTGAAATTACAGTTAAATGAAACGGCTGCAAAGAGTTTTTGTAAGAAAAGTTTTCATTTCCATCAAATTGTAGGAGCAGTGACAGTACAAAAGGTCTTGCATTGTATAAATAGAAAAATAGATTAAGATTATGATAAAATTTTAAAAAATCTAATAAAACGCTTGTCGCTCACAGTATTTTAGCAAACAACTGTGTTCAAACATGTCCTTGTTCCCACAGGTCACAAACATAATGACCGATAAATTATGAGTCCACCATGTTGCTGTTAAGTGATGGGCTGGAGTCAGCTTTGTTATGACAAACTAAGGCACTAATGCCAGACCCATCAGCCACACACTGACTGTAATTGTCAGCCTGTGTTTGACGTTTTGAAATTGATTCAGTCTCTCGGCTTCTGTGTAGTTCTGGATGGTTTGGTGATGTGTCCTCGGTCTTTCTTGTAGATGGGAATACACATGAGTTTTGCCTTCTCCTGGATGATGTTGGTCACTTAGAGCAGTATCATCACTTGACTTAACACAGCAGAGGGTGGACGCTGCGGTGAGAAAAAGAGAGAAAGTTTACAACACAGAAGAAGAAGACTACTGATTTTGCCTAATCTGAGGCTGGACTGTCACACACAGAGGAGTCATTAACCACAACAAAACATGTATAACACATCTATTGTTTGTGCTGGGATGTAAGAGCACCACTTCTTTCCCTCTTTCACTATGATGGACATTACATGGAACACAGAGGGGAGATCTCAGTGTTAGCCTGAAATAAAATTAGTTATAAAAATCCTGTCTTGAGGCTACTGTCCATGTGATCACTGTCAGACAAAACTCATAACTCTATATTTATAGACAATTTTCATCTTTTAGTACAAAGGGTAAAACAAAGGACAAATACAAAACACTGAACAATTACACATATTCAAGGTTGGGTATTCAAGGTCTAGGTGATCAGTATCCATAAGACAAAATATTATACACAACACGTGGATGTCTTGAACATTTGGCTTTCAAACACAGAACATTCAATTTCGAGTTCTTGTCCACACTTGGGAGTTCTATGCATTACTTTGGATTGTGGAGGAAAGTATTGTCACTTACACAGGAGATGTTTCTCCCGTTGGCCATACTGAAGAGCCCTCCACCTGTCATAGAAGACTGTGTCAGTAGGAAAGCCAGCATCGGCCATCTGCTTCTTGGTTGGTGGCTGGCCAGTCAGATTAAGTGGAAAGGCCTGTAGGAAAGCTGCAAGGTCCTGTTCAGCTCCAGTCTCCCCGTTGTCTGCATCTTCTCTTCCTCGCTCCAGTGCCCGGTTGCTCCTCTCCTCACCTGAATCCTCAGAAGAGGAGTTGTAAGATTGAACAGGTCAAAGGATAAACACTGACAAACACATGCACCAACAGACACAGTGGTCGACTGACGTGCGTTTCAGATGATGGCACATACTGTCTGAGGTTCCTGAACAGGGTGCAGGTGTCCACGATGTTATCCAGGTCTTCATGCAATAGTGCACATTGGCCATGGGTGTGGAATGGGCCATGTAATAAGCCACGCCAGCTTTCTGCTCCTCGTGAACTGGGAAGCCACCTGAGTTTCACAACCCTCCTGATTTCCTGGCTGGTCACATTTGGGAGTTTGCAGCTGCAATGCAGAAGACATCTCAGTTGACTCTCACTTACAAATCTGAATTCTGAACTGTTCACTCAATGTGCAAATTAGGATGTCAATTTTGTCCCATTCTCTCTCTCTCTCTCCACAGTGCATATAGCAAGGTCATTGCTGGCACTCTTAGTGGGCCTACCATTTATGGCCAGAAAAAAATATCCCATCATCATCAACACTGATGTTGATGTAATCAGGGAAGATCCATTGACAGTAGCCCTCGAGCATCTGCAAAGACAAGACATGAGCCAAGTTAATATCTGTGTCGTTAATAATACTGCAATTCACAACGAGCGATTTCAGCCTATTAAAGTACTTACTGCTGCCTCCCCCATACTGAGGGAAAACGTGGGAACATGCATGGTTGCTTTTGGTTTCAGCATGCAGACCTCAATACTGACTACATGTTATACTGTACTGCACGCTACGAAACACTCGTGCAAAGTGTCAGGAAAACACACTTACTGCCATTCCTTCCACTGCATCGGGTGTTTGAAAATAACTGAGGATGATGACGGTGTTGCAGTAACAGCAAAACAGCGTCTTCTCCTCTGGAGCCACATAGAATAGAATAGATTTACTTAATTGATCCCAAAAACTGGGAAATTGTCTTGTTACAAGCAGCAGAAGTATAAACGTAAAAGTGCAGGTAGTTAAAATAAAATACAATAAAATATAAAATAAATCCTAATATATACAGAATATAAAAAATATCAAATATACAGAATATAAAATATAAAAACTATAAAAACAGGAAAAGAGTGAGACTGGAAAAACAATGTGGCAGTGAGCAGGTATGCAAAAACAGGACTATACAGCAGAGAGTTGTGAGTTGACTCTCACAGACAGATGTGAGTTATTGTACATTGTGTTAGCTTGTGGCAGGAATCATGACGACACCCAGGTACTTGTAGTCCTCCACCGCTTCCACATCCTCTCCCAGAACACACAGTGGCTGTGAAGTAGTCCTCTTCCTCCTGAAGTCAATCACCATCTCTCTGGTCTTGTTGACATTCAGCCTCAGGTGATTGCGTCCAGCCCACTCCACAAAGTTGTCCACCACTGCTCTGTACTCCCCTTCATCAACTTATACAGCCGACCACAGCCGAGTCATCAGAAAATTTCTGTAAGTGACATGACTCAGAGTTGTATTGAAAATCTGTGGTGTATAAGGTGAAAAGGAAAGGGGACAGCACAGTCCCCTGTGGAGCTCCTGTATCACTGACCACCGCATCAGACAGGACACTGCCCAGACAGACAAACTGTCACCTGCCTGTCAGGTAGTCAGTAATCCAGGAGACAATGGAGGTGTCGACTCCCAGCACCCGCAGCTTCTCACCCAGCAGCAGTGGCTGGATAGTGTTGAAAGTGCTGGAGACATCAAAGAATGTGATTCTCACAGTGCTGCCACCACTATCCAGGTGCGAATGGGCTCATTTCAGCAGATAGATGACAGTGTCGTCAACTCCCAGATTGGGCTGGTAAGCAAACTGTAGAGGGTCTCGCAGCTCCTTCACCTGCTGCACAAGAGAGCTCACCATAGGGAGGAGAGGGGGGAGGGGTGTAAACAGTGTGGGTGAGTGGGGGGCTGGAAGGCTGCGAGCTAAACCTGTTAGAGAAGCCATTCAGCTCGTTGGCTCTCTCCAGACCGCCTGATGGTTGGTTGCCCTTCACTTTACATCCAGTGATCTGTTTCATCCCAGTCCACAAATCCCTCACATTGTTCTGCTGGAGTCTGGCCTCCAACTTCCTCCTGTAGCTGTCTTTACACCCCTCAGCATCTCTCTGAGTTCATGCTGCACTCTCCTCAGCTCCTCTCTGTCACCAGACCTAAAGGCCCTCTTCTTCTTGTTGAGGAGTGCTTTCAGGTCACTGGTAATCAATGGCTTGATACCTGATGTATTCTGTGATGCAGTCTGTCTTGTCGTCGATGTCCTCCCCGTGTGGCTCAAAGAGTACATCCCAGTCTATTGTCTCAAGGCAGTCCTGCAGTGCCCCAGCAGCCTCCTGAGTCCACATCCTTACTGTCCTTGTGCGAATATACATAAATAACATAAATAAAAAAATTTCAAGCAGCCTCCCATGATTGCCCAGCATGTCTTTCTTTGCCACACACAGGACTTTCTGGCAGTCATCAAGGCTCCTCTGATCCCTGAACCGCACTAAGCTAAGTCACTAAGTCATATTTATCAGATCGTTCGCAGTTTGTTCATGTTAATGATGAATCTTCAATAAATACTACAGTTAGTCATGGAGTTCCTCAAGGTTCTGTACTTGGACCAATACTATTTACTTTATATATGCTCCCTTTAGGCAGCATTATTAGGAATCACTCCATTAATTTTCACTGTTATGCAGATGATACGCAGTTATATCTATCGATCAAGCCCGATCAATTATCTAAATTACAAACATGTCTTAAGGACATAAAATCCTGGATGACCTGCAATTTTCTGATGTTAAACTCAGAAAAAAACGAAATTCACATCTCTGTTACTTACTTCACTTCTTCCCCGGAGTTCTTGTGCTTTCTCGTCTTGCAGGTTCTTATCGATCCTGGTGGAGCCTCCTGCCATGGTCCTGCTAGATTGCCATTGCCAATACTGTTGTTGCTGTGCACCTGTCTGTCTGTCTGTCTCTTGCTCTCTCTCTCTCTCTCTCTCTCTCTCTCTCTCTCTCTCACCCCAACTGGTCGAGACAGACGACCACCCACCTAGAGCCGAAGGATCTGTCCTAGGTTTCTGCCTTTTAACAGGCAGTTTTTCCTTGCCTTTGTCGCCAAGTGCTTGCTCATGGTGGTACTGTTGGGTCTCTGTAATTAATGTTTTAAAGAGTTCGGTCTAGACCTGCTCTATTTGAAAAGTGTCCTGAGATAACTTGTGTTGTGAATTGGCGCTATAGAAATAAAATGTAATTGAATTGAATCTCTCCTGTACTAGCTTCTCTGCTCTGGCTCCCTTTAAAATGTAGAATAGAATTTAAAATCCTCCTCCTCACTTATAAAGCTCTTCATGGTCAGGCCCCTTCATATCTTAAAGAGCCCATAGTACCCTATTACCCCACTAGAACACTACATTCTCTGAATGCTGGGCTACTTGTGGTTCCTATAGTCTCTAAAAGTAGAACAGGAGCCAGAGCCTTCAGTTACCAAGCTCCTCTCCTGTGGAACCAGCTTCCAGTGTTGTGGTTCGGGAGGCAGACACCCTCTCCACATTTAAGAGCAGGCTTAAGACATTCCTCTTTGATAAAGCTTATAGTTGGGGCTGGATCAGGTGAGTCCTGAACCATCCCTTAGTTATGCTGCTATAGGCCTAGACTATCGGGGGGATTTCCCATGGTGCACTGAGCTCCTCTCTTCCTCTCTCTTTCTGCACTCATTCATGTCCCATTAATGCATGTTTCTAACTTCACTTCTTCCCCGGAGTTCTTGTGCTTTCTCGTTTCGCAGGTTCTTATCGATCCTGGTGGAGCCTCCTGCCATGGTCCTGCTAGATTGCCATTGCCAATACTGTTGTT